AAAAAGAGCCGATAACTTTTTTTACATTTTATGTATTTGGTAATTCAGTCATTGCACTTTTAGAAGCTGGTATTATCTAGTTTGGCAAAATTCATTTTCCATATTTTAATAGCTGCCAAGAATAGTGTACTTTAGACAAATTTAGGTTGATTTTTGGAGCACAAGGGAGCAGTCATTTTAGTTAGCAGTGTCCTAAGATCATTTAAAATTTCCAAAAGTACAATATCCAAAGAAATTTCATCCACATTACATGAAAGTAGTATATAGGTATGCCAACATTCTCTCCACTGTGCATGTTTAAAATGCAAACAACTTCACCTTACATACATCACTCTCTCAAAAGTACATAATAACTGGTGAGCGCCACCATAGCGGAGTGCAACGCAGGGAGCATACTAAGCAGGGGACCAGACTAGAAATATTCCTAAAATCATCATTTGGAACAAACTGTGCATGGTCTCAAAGGACATTAAAAAATTTTCTTGATTGGCTGTCTAAATAAAAAAAAACTCCACGGCAATTATCATGTGCAGAATCAGGGACAACATCCTCCATTTACAGGTGAATCACCATACACTTGGCCATAGTACACAATTAATTTTACTATACGGTCTCTACATTTGTTCCTCAGTACTGAACTTTCCACTGTGTGACAATCAATACAAATCATATGTTAATCTAAAATACCTTCAAAGATGACTTAACGGTTTAGTTCTTGTCAAGGGTTGACCTGCATTTTTTTGAGAGGCTGAATTGTAAACAAAACACCAGGCAACGGAACACAGATTTCACTTCCGGATCATCACCATGACCTTATTACTCAATGTGCACTGTCGCCGAAATACACACAGACAACCATACCATAAGCTCACATTTTAAAGAATAATCAATTGCCTTTAAATCCTTACCAAGAATGCCAAAATCTAACTCTAGTATAACCACCAAATTTAGACCAGAAAAAGTGATCTAAAAATAGACTGGGACTACATTCGTGGGTACTGAACCGGATTTTATTAATTGTGTACTGATTCCTGAAAGGGTCAATGTTTTTGTCAAACTTTTATATTTGCATTTTATTTTGCATGCCACTACTGTTTCAACTTCATACATAAAGTCTTTTGAAATTTCCTTGCAAGCAAGACATGTGACAGCTGTCAGAAAGTGTGTAGTGCTGGTGTTCTATAGGGTGCAATTTGAGGTCCAATTGTTCTTAAGAAACCAAAACTAAATTTGCTATATCTTCCTTAATTATAGGAATTTTTCAATGCAGTAAAAACCTAATTGTAATACTTGATAAGGCCTGTGTGAAAATAGTCTTGAAATTAAAAAATATTGATATATTAAATTTTAATGAAAATTTAAAAAAATATATAAATTTTAAAAACTTTTTATTTTACAAAAAATAAATTTTCATACAAGTTATGACATTCAGTTTGACAAATTTAGGGCAGCAATGTTGATTAATGAATGGTCTTTAAAACAAATGGTAGTTTAGGTCTGTACAACTGATAATATTAATCCCAGGGGTACTGAAGCATGATAGCTCACAGTGATTTTGACAGCAAATTGCAATTTGCCTATCCAGATGCATATAGGTGTACATACTAAAGAAACAATGACAGGTACTATGTTCCACATTTATTGTTTCAGGTACTTGGACAGTTGTTTGTATAACTAATATCCCACTCAAATTTAAAGTTTTGATGGGACCACTACCATGTTTTATAGCAAATATGCATTCCATTTTAATGCCGATAACTACAAAAGTCAACAATGCAATATGAAAATACAGTTTCACCTTACTGAAAAAAGATGCGAATCTCTCTCATGAAGATCTAAGCCATGTCTTTGAGATGCTGTATATCAGTGTATTGATATGAACTCATCTTGGTCACTTATAGCAGCACACTACACATGTCCTTATGAGACCTTGCTATCACCATTGGACTACTGGAGAGCTTCCAAATTGATCCAACTCTAATACTTTGTTTCAGATACCAGACTAGACCTGAAAATATATAACATGTTTCACTTAATTCTAAAAAAAGGAAGATGTAGGCAAATGAAGTTAAAATGTGTTAGATATGGTGATTTCAATATAACATTCAGGTTGCAAATATGGTTAAAAAAGGTAAACTTGATAGAGTGACACTCAAAGATGTGAAGCAATGGGCATGTATTAAAGTGACAAATGCATCCTAAAAATAGATGAAGTTTCTACAAGCATATTTAGCCATTTACAGGTTAAATAACTAATCAGGTAGAGTATGTATCATAAAGTTTAAGGCAATGTTGGAACGGTGAGGTTTGATCATTGGTGCAAACATTGATACATACCAGTATAGTGGAAAGTCAAATGACAATGTACCAAATTAAAATTTATTACTATATGCAATCCTATTCATGAAGGAAAAAACAATTTTAGATATTGTGAGTGAATATAGCAAAATGTGGCCACACAGATCAACTATAGGTACCAATAGATCCTATATCATCAACTAAATGTGAAATTTGCATCCCAAAAACTTGTAAACAAGGATGGATATTTGCATGTGTGGGACATATGCAATGTACTTGTTAAAATCACATGTGCAAACATGATTCAAATAATCTGTTTGAATATTTTTAGTCTATTTTTAAGAGTCTTGGCTACCAAGGTTTTAAGTTCAATGATTCAATGGAATGAAATATCAGCTGATGCTGCAATACCGCCCTCTGTCAAAGTACTAAATTGAAATGTGTTACCATACAGAGGCATATTCATGATGAAAATAACATCTTGGGATATTTTAAGTGCACACAATCAAAACTGAGCCTTACAGATTCACTATAGGTACCATGTCAGCCTAACAATGTCAACTTTTGATTCCAAACATTACAAAATATATGCATATTTGTTCATGTCAGCTATGTAACCATGTTAGGATCAGTTGTAGAAAGTTAAATTCAAATAATCTGTTTGAATATTACTTATGTAATCTTTAAAGTGTCAGATAACAAATATTATTAGTCATTAATAATGCATAAAGCAAAATGGATCATGAGAATTCCCATAATATCATCTAGGCTACAATGTAGCACTACATCAATCAACATCTTAAAGAAACTGAACAATAAAATGGAATGCATTCTGTGTTCAACTTACATCATTTTGCTGTTTTCTTACATGCAATGGTAAATATACCTGGGTAAAGTATATTTTACCCCTCTGACCTGTATTTCATTCTCTGACAGCTTAATATGATTTTGTAGAGAACTTGAACAGGTTCTAGTATAAAGTCTTCATCTCTGTCCTCTCACTAAATACCCTATAACTATGGTTATAAACAATTACTGATAGCTATACAAGCAGATATGTGTTACTCAGGAAGTCACCCCATCATAAACACATAAATTAACTGTTTGAACCCCAAATAAATAGTTTCAATGACCTAAAGATACAAAGCAAAGTAGAATTGTGTCTTCATGTATTTTAAATGAGGGTCTCATTTTGACTAATAAAGATATTTTCTCTGATCAAATTTGACAAATATCCATCATTTGAGCTTGTATATGGTGTAGGAGTATATATATGCTGATATCATTTAATATCATTCCAAAAAAATATTATATATGTGTATACTTGGTGGAAATTTTTTATTTTTTAATTTTTTTAAATTTCATTTAAATTTTTAAAATTAAAATTATTTTTTTACTTCTAATTTCATTTTTATATTTTTAAAGTCAATATACATAACATATTAAAATTTCATGTATATGTCATTAATAATAAAAAATTTATATCAGTTTCAAGTTTTTACTGACAGGCCATAGTACACAATTAATTTTACTATACGGTCTCTACATTTGTTCCTCAGTACTGAACTTTCCACTGTGTGACAATCAATACAAATCATATGTTAATCTAAAATACCTTCAAAGATGACTTAACGGTTTAGTTCTTGTCAAAGATTGACCTGCATTTTTTTGAGAGGCTGAATTGTAAACAAAACACCAGGCAACGGAACACAGATTTCACTTCCGGATCATCACCATGACCTTATTACTCAATGTGCACTGTCGCCGAAATACACAGACAACCATACCATAAGATCACATTTTAAAGAATAATCAATTGCCTTTAAATCCGTACCAAGAATGCCAAAATCTAACTCTAGTATCACCACCAAATTTAGACCGGAAAAAGTGATCTAAAAATAGAATGGGACTACATTCGTGGGGGTACTGAACCGGATTTTATTAATTGTGTACTGATTCCACTTGGCTAAAATGTTACATCGACGCTTATGAAGAAATGTTGCATTACCACTGATCCAGCGATGAATCATTACGTGAACTGAAAATGTTAAGGAGACTTTAGCCGGACAAGATTCAATGTGAGATAATGCGCAGTATAATTCCAGAAACATTCACGCTGGATTTTTGAAACTTATGGCGCCCTAATGATCTGATAGTTGTATAGCAAACCTGTTATGGAAGTGCACCCCTTCTACCAACAAAAAACGGTCCCTTAAGACAGGTGGTCTCTCATAACAGGTTTGTTCAAAAAGAAACGTTTTCAAGGTCCAGTTTCAGAACAATTACAAGAAATAACAACGATCACTCATATATTAATAGTTCTTGCTCAAATATTGCACGCATTCATCTGAAAACAAAATTATCAGATATATATCATTAAATGTGAAATTACTTGTACATTTGAAGATCACGTGTACATGTATTTTAGCATATAAAATCGTTCCTGATTTACTCCTTTTCCTTTATAACACCCTACAGTTGTGTTACGATGTTTAAGCTACTATTTTACGAGTGGTCTGACCTTTTTCGCTTCGTTCAGTCACAATAAATATATTCTCCAGTGTTTAAATTATCTCGTTTTAGTTGGAGTTTCTTCCATTGTTATTGATGTACTAGATGTTCACATTATGAGTGCTTAGTTGTAATATCGACTGTAAAGACGGTTTTGACTAGGCTTTGGGGAAATATCACAAAAATTACATGAACCGCTCCGGTTGCCTAGTGATTAGAGTATCCGCCTCTGGTGCGGGAGATCGTGGGTTCAATTCCCGATCGATTCATACCAAAGACTTACAAAATGGTAGCTGCCTCGCATGACGCTCAGCATTAAGAAGTTAGTGTTAGGACTGGTCGGTTTGGTGTCAGGATAATGTGACTGGGTGGGACATCATGCTTCATGTCTGTAGCATGATGCCTCAGTGCTAGACATCATAATAAGCTGCCACACTGCAGACATCGTAGCGATATGACTAAAAAAATTGTTAAGCTACGTTAAAAATCATAATCACATCACAAAAATTACATGTGCATTTCATATCTAATAATTAATGAAATAAAAAGAAACAGCTATATCATCCAGAAACAGAATCAGTTATTTAGAGACAAACTTTTACGGCTTAATTCAAATATCTGCAGGGATTAACTCTATAAACAAAGTGTGCAATTCGGTCGCACGAACTTGAATAGAAGACAATGCGGTGATGGGGATGTAATCACTGTAAAATCGGAAGTAATAAAAACTACAAATATAACAAGCCTTTAACACCATCGATCAAATCCCTCAAAGGATTCACGCTTGCTAGTTTAATAGACAATAGACAATAACCCCCAGGCACTATGGATTAATTCAAAAGACAAACAATATAAGCGACCACAACCTTAATTTCGGCACTACAATGGTAACTTCGCCACATGTACATTATCCTGATTTAGAGATTGTACCATCTGCCACTATGCTCGCGATGTATGTGGTGTGTCCACTTCTAATTTTAATATTATATTGTTGCATCAGCGATGTTACTACACTGAGAAATTCTTTTAAATGATCAACCTGTAGCAACTGCAGACATTGCAGGCCACCACGTGAATAAATTCGTTCAAATATGACTGCGACTTCAGTTGCTTTTTTCTTCCTTGATATGATTTGCTGAATATGTAAAGCAACGTAAAATACATCCTTAACCCAATCGTCTTCTTTTAGAGTTTCAACATATTGAGGTTTTACATATTTTTTGGTGGTGATGGTGGTAGTGGTTGAACTTCGTGTAGTGGTTGAACTGATGTGGATGGTGGTTGAAGAAGGCCAGTAATATCAATAGGTAATGCCTCAAGAGTGTGTTTTGTTGCCTCAGTTGTTGTAATTGTTCAAATAATTACTCTGTACCTTCTGTAAATTCCACATGAGCTTCCTGGTCTTATTGTAACAGAGGTATGACAGAATCATTAATGAAGATATCTCTTAATTACCTCTAGTGGTTCTTGAGTGACTGAAAAGATGTTAAATGGGTAATTGTATAACTTGACCATGGTGCACATGCCTGGATTCCCCTTCAATCCAGTAAGGGTGTTTGTTTTGTTATGAGTCTATGCACTTTAAATAAGTAATAAAAAAGAGTGAAGACAACAGGCTTTGTAAAATTTAGCAATTTATTTCCCTAGAATACATTGTTAAAAATGAAAAAAAAGAACCTATGGTATGGTGAATTAAATCCAAAAGAATTAAAGATGTAAGTACTAGTAATAAAAAGTCCTAAAAGATACAAAAGTGAAGGTGATGATATGTCTGTTATGGCCTGTAAATTGCTAATATGTCAACAGTCTCTTGTTGAATCACAGAAATATTATACCAGGTTTGAATTCAGTATAAATTCAAATGAATATCTTCATCCAAGAATTTTATCAGAGTACTTTTGTATTTCCAGAGAAAATAATTACTTGAATTCAATACGTTAAAGAAAATACAATTCAGCTGAAACTGGTCACAACACAATACAACTAAAAGTGTTAGATGTTAAAGCATGATTGGTAAAATCATCGCAGTCACAAGATAATATAGTTTTCTGTTTGACCTCAGGTCATAATTAACATTTTCTCAAAAATGCCCTTACCTAATGGAAAATAAACTTCTAAATTGATATAATGAGCCTTGTTTAGTTACAAGACAAGAGCCTATAAACGTCATTTTGGAATCTCCAAACTCCTAACCCCCGATCAACATATTTACTTCTTCTTTGTTTACCTGAATAATAATTCTGTTCATAAGCTCATACACATAGAAAATAATTAAGATTATATATTTGTTATGTTCATGCACATGAAAAATTTCAACTTGCAGACTTAATAATTATCCATGAACTAGCATATGAAACATCTCTGACTTTGTCATCTCCTTTCTTCTTTTGCTTCAACCAGGCTTAGAAACAAGCCTCTGAATGACCTTTGGTAACAAAAAGATCTACATATTTTTAGGCCCCATTTGCAGAATTAAAGCTTTTTGGGACATGGTCATTCATCTCACTTCTTTCTTTGACTGTCTTACTGTTTTTTTAGAACATGATTACAAAGATGGCATTTCATGATGGGGGTTCTCTACCCCCCAGTTGGTACCACATTTGGGGTGGGGGTCTACACCCTTCTCTTACTGCTGGTTTCCACTGTATATCTTTATCCATGTCTGTTAATTTCTAATTTGTTTTTTTATTGACTGAGACATTGAGATTGATTTCCAATGTTCCATCATCTACAGGATTGCCTATTCTTCTGACTTAGTTTTCTGCAGCTTAATTTTAGCAAACTTATGGATTTCAATGAAATTCTGTATCCTGTTTTATATTGATGAGACCTCTAAATAGTTATGTTTACATCTATCTGTGCTGTCAAGTGCAAGAGTTATGCACCCTGAATGCCTGTGCACTTGACTGGGAGGTAGCAACATGAATTTTACCAAGGTTTGTTTGATTTCAACTGTGTTAGGTTCAGGGCTTTGTATTAATTAGAACTTAAATAAGTTCAGTTTGAAGGATTTCTGCAGCAAAACATCACAAAGGTTTGTTGGATTTCCAGCAATCCACAACATCATTTACAATAACTATGCCCCCTGATTGCCTTCCCTATTGATTTTATTTTTTGCAGCTTTACTTTACCATGAATTTGTTGAATCTCATTTGAATTTTGTATACATTTGCTGATGACACCTTAAATGAATATAATTTCCAGTGTTAGAAGAGTTATGGCCCTTGATTGCCTCTCTTCCCTATTTTTGGTATCTGCAGAATAACTAATTAGGGAATGTGGGATTTCAACCAAATGCAACACAATATTTGTGAGACCTAGAATTAGTTGATTTTCCAGCTTTCGCAGATCATCTTTCAGAGGATTTATATTCCCTGTTTATCCATTCTCCATTTGTGGTTACCCAAGATTCTCTGCTAAATTCATGACAAGCAAATTGTAATGAGCAGGGTCCTTTGCAATGTGCCAGTCACTTGTAGCTCATGTTTTCATACCTCCACTTTAGCTGTGGGAGGTCGCAGGTTTGAATCGCAGCCAAATCATACCAAAGACTTTTAGAAAATAGTACCTACAGCTGCCTCGCTTGGTTCTCATCGTTACGAGGTTAGTGCTTGGACTGTTCAGGTTGGTGCAAGGATAATGCGACTGGGTGAGATATGATGCTACATGTCTGTGGCATGATTCCCCAGTGCTAGATGTCATTATAAACTGTCACATGCAGAAGACATCATGGTGATATGACTGAAAATATTTTATCAAAAATCCAAAACTCACACACACTCGTACCTTATATGCAGGGTATTAAACTGTGGTGTTAGGTGAAGTATAGCATGCCAAGTTGAAAGTTTGCCAGAACATGAAGGAAGTTAGAACCCAGTTTCCAGATCTTTCTGGATTGATCAAGCATTTGAACTTGGCACACCATGATATGTGAATGTTATTCTTACTTTGTCAAATATAAAATAAATAATTTAAAACAAAAACTAGTTTGGTAAACAAAAAGAAGAAAAACTGTACTGAACCAGCATGTGAATTCTGATTTTTGAGTACAGCTAAAATCTATAAAAAAAATAGATGCTGGAAATGACCATGTATAAGACTTATAGAAATGTAGAACTGTGGTAGTTCAGCTGGATAAGTATCCCATTCACCCAAAGGTTGTGGATTCAGACCTTGTGCCTGACAGCCAGAGTTTGCTGCCTGCCTTTAGCTCCCATTTCATTAATATGACATGGCCAATAATGTGCTAAAAGTGTCATTAACCCTTCCCCAGTTTTTTCACATCCTTATTTCACTAACATTTCTCTATCAAAGTCATGTCTTGTTCATGATGTATTAATCATTTCTTGTACTATACTATCATGCATAAAGAACATATCATGGTTACATGAAATATAAATGCATATATAAATGATGGGTAACATCAAGGATACAATATCAATATCTGTTGATTTTACATGTTTTTATGTTATAATAGTAGAAATCAAAAATTTTTTAATTTGAAATCATTTCTTTTTTTCAGCCAGAAAAGTCATTAGAAGAAGAAGATGCCATCCCTATAGTGTTACCATGGCGATCTCCAATGATAGTAAAATTTGTCATTATATTCATGGTAACACAATCCACAATACGCCTGTTTTACCAATGTAGCAGTCAGGCTGCAGAACCATCATGGTGGAGTGCTACAGTGGATCAAATCTGGCCACAAGATATTGTTCTTGGACGAATTTTGCAAATAATTATGGTGAATTGTTTCTATATTTGGAGAGTATATCGCTCTGAAGATTGGGAGTGGAGTGACTGGTTCTCAGATTGAAAGATAAATATGTCATCCTGGTGATGTCCATTGCAAAAATGTCTTCATCAATTTTTGTATTTTTATAACTTAAAAATATAGTGTAACAGGATACCTGACAATATTTTGCATAATCCCATGATATCATTATCTCCTGTTAAGGGGATCTTAAAGGAACAAAGGTATTTATATAAAACTGAATGACATTAAGTGGAGTTATTTTAATCCAAAGCAGATTATTCCATTTTTATCAGGAAGTAAAAGTTTATATCGAAATTGAAACATAAGATAAATGTAATTTTTTTTTGTCTGCTTTAAATCTTTGTTGAGAATGACTTTATTGTGCTAAAACAAATATTATGTTTAAACATTGCTATTTAAAGATTGTTGATTCAGATAATATTTTTGTGATCCAATCAAAGTAAACATCAGGATAATTGTTGTCATGTACTTTTGTCAGGAATCATTTAAGAA